AAGTGGGAGGAGCTATTTCAGGCGCCTCTGGGTCCAGAAGTAAAAGTCGCATTCATTTTCCCCCACAGACAGCGTTGCATGGCTTACTGTTGGAGCTCTTTTAAGGCTTGGATCAGTATGAAACTTAACAATTAACTAATTAACTGTGTTGCAAAAATGTCTAACTCTTTGATAAAAAGTAAAAAATGCATGTCATGCACTGCCGTACTTAAGTATAACTACTGTTACAATTACTGTTATCAATTTAAAGTATAAATTAAATCGATATGGATTTCATGGAATGTCATTCTAAATAGCAAGAAATGGAATAATCTTATAATAATCTTTATTGTGCACGAGAGGAAATACCATGTGCTTCACAAAACATTAGACAGGAAAATACTAAAACTTAGAAAATGACACAGAAAAGATCAAAATAACATTTAATAAATTACAATAAATGTTTTTAATCATTCTGTCAACAAAATGCAACATATGGACAACAGGAGACGGACCCAGGTGCCATTACCTTACTTCACTGTAGATATATAAAGACCCCATCAATCACAGGCATTCTCACGAATAAAAACACACTGCAAAGAAGACAGAGAATACCTGTCATCACGTCTGCTGAGCTTTGTCGTGCCTTTGGCAAGAGAGAAAGAGAGTGGAGGAGATTGCGTGACTACGGAGGAGGTAATATTCCTCTCTCATCTCCACTCCTGTCCTGTGTGAGGATGGTCGGCTCTCTTTTCTCTCCCTGATCTTTTTCCCTCTGCTCTTTCTTCCCCTGTCTTTGCCCTCGGGGCTCATGCTCTGGTTCACTGACACTGCTGCAGCCCTAGAGCGAAAAAGTCCTCCACCAAAGTTCACCGAGACAAGCTCGCAGATTTGTTCCCAGAAAAAAAGGTTAAACAAACACACGTATGAATTGTGGGTACATGTCAATCAAAATGCCTTTCTTCAGAAACAAGACACCAATCAAGTCCATCCGCTACGATAATCTAAGACAAGAAATAAGTAGAAGCAAGACTGGGTGGGTTTTTTTTTTTAGCCTTGTTGCCATGGAAACCATTGTTTTGCCCTCTTCCTTCCTGCCTTGCATTCCTCCACACAATGCGATGAAAAGTAAATTGCCTTTCGACAAAGCAGACTGGAGTGGTGTATGGAAAAGAAGAGGGTGAAGACTTGGCCGGCTGAAAGATGCGCGAGAGCTGAAAAAAAAAAAAAAACACACACACAGGCCTGTGACGGGCCAAGTGGAGCTGGAACCGCTGGAGCATGTTCACTCACTGGTCATTTTGTTTTCTCAGGGCTGCATGTTACCTGATATCAGGTAGACAGATTTTATCGCTGCCTCCCAGCAGCACCGAGCCAGACAGCGGACTATTTAAAGAGCGAAAGAAATAACAAACACCCACTGAGATTAGATGTACGCCACTCAACAAAGCCCCAGAGCAAAGATGTGTTGTTTCCACCCTGATAATCCCTTAAAAGCAAAAATCCACACAGGATGTCACATGAATACATGTTGTCTCACCTCACCTTTTTTAATTGAGCTTTACTGCACCTATTACAACTGCCCTTGCTCAACTCGTGAACGGCGAGTGATTCGTAACCTCGCGTAATGCTGCGCTTATCTTCCTCAGCTGAGAAGAAGGGCATGTTGTGCACCTATACTGTGTGTTCTGCAGCACAAACTCAAATATCCAGGTGCATATCATAAAGCCCGGCCCTCGAGTCAACACTGTACAGAGGAAATACATAGAGATACACGAGACTGTTAACTATTAACCTGTTAAGCACTCTTATTGCACAATACCTTGAAACATTGAACATGTACAGTTACACATCCAGTTTTCCATCTGGATCATATTCCACTTTATTGTATATAATGTTTATATGTTTTATTATATAAACACTCTTTTTATTGTATTTTATTCTTTATCTGCTGTTGCACTACATTTCCCCTGTGCTGCTGGGCCAAATTTGAATTTTCCCTTACAGGGGATCAATAAAGGAACATCTTATCTTATCTTACATCATTAACAAGGGAAAAAGGGGGTATGTACTCACAGTTCTTCCAGATAGGGGAAGTTCTTGAATACATATGCTGGAAGCTCAGTGATGTTGTTCATGCTCAGGTCACTGTGAAAACATACAACAACAACAAAAACTGTTAGAAACACAGTAAAATCATTCATTGAACTGATGAGGACCGTTAAATCAGAGTTTGTTAACCTTGCGTTTAGTATTTCGTTAAGCAGACTGGGTCACAGGAGACAGATTTAATATCTGTATCTGATATTGGTTTTGTATATTTTAATTAAAAAAACATTTAAAAACGATTCCAGCTGTCTCCTACAACAAATCACTTCTGTACACTTTCAAGGCCTATTTACTATTTACTGCTATTACTATTGTTGTTGCTTCCTTGTTCTTATTCTTTAATCATTTTGCCTGTCTTTGATTTAAATATTATCAAATGCTTTCTCTTGCCTCTTGTCTTTTGTTACTGTGAACTCTGATTTGGAAAATTAAGTTTTACGTATTTACATAAGATTTGATCAGATTTTAAGAAGAAACTCAAAATGAAATCCTCTGTGTACGAGGCCTCGTTTTATTAACTAAGCAACAGAAAACACGCATTAAGATATTGAAATGTTCGACTATAATTGTAAACTACAAACAATAGGGTGGTTGTGTCACACATCCCTTATGGCAGTTTAAGGTCTTTTGACTGTGCCTGCATGAGTGTAACCTCAACAAAAAGAGCCTTGAAAAAGCCCTTCTCTTTAGCCCCAGGGATCTTCATTTTTTAAACCAACTTCAAGTAAAGATAGGCGTGTAGCAGCATGAAAAATATGCACACAGGACTTGATTTGCTTCCCCACCTAAGCTAATATGAGTATATGTGTTTACATCTTCATAATGATGATTGAAAAGAAAAACACGCTGAAAGGTATATGCTTGCTACTGAAAATGTGTTAACTCCAGGGTGCCAACGCAGTGATTTCAACTGGCTGTGAGGAGCAGCGGTTCGTCACAGTAAAGGAGGGGACAAAAGGCTGTCTTAGGTCTGCTAAGGAGACGTATACAATGAGAGCAAACACTGAGATGCCTCGTCTTGATTAGGAATCCACTAACCTGCTTCAAAGGAAAACCTCCCTCAACGCCGTATGTAAAGAGACGGCACATGACAAGACTGAAAAAACATCCGGGATTCACAGATGAAGCTACCCCCTGCCCCCCCCCCTCGCCTCACCTCCGTCCTCTTTCGCTCTCCAACTGGCCATCTTGAATTTCACTGCCAGATCTCTCTAGGACCTTGTGTGTGGGCCCCTGAATCCTACAAGGATCATATTGCCCTTCCTCTGCAGTCCCAACCACACACACACACACAGACGCACAGAAGCCTTAAAAGGCGGGTCCTGACAGAACCCTCATCATCCCTGCGACCTGCGTCCCATCTCCTCTTACCTGGTTATCCACTTACCACACAGACTGTGCAGCTACGACGACGCTTCCATCAACATCCACCCAGCCCCTTATCTTTTTTCCCTGACCCTGACAAACATCTCTGGTGGTGTTCTGCAACCGCTGCTGCAGATCTTCCACCACCGGCGGTCAGAGAGACACATCCCTAACCACATTTGAGACCATTTGACTGAATCTTCCGCAGACTGTTGACTGGTCTGAACCACATGCAGGGTCGGGAGCACGGGAGGCCTGCCTGACTCTATCACGCTTCCTCCCTCCCTCTGTGTCTGGCTGCTTTACTCATCAAGGTCCTGGCCCGTCAGTGCTAAGACAGATTGAAGGGGACACTAAAAATGCAGCTGTGATAAATGGTGACAGGCCTAAACGCTTCTACAAACAGGTATCGGTAGATTTCTATCCCATGTGTCATTTGGCTTCATTTTAGCAGAGAGAGAAAGCAGATAATCTGAGAAAAGGTGCAGACATTGCTTTGAGAAAAGGGAAATAAAGGCTGCTGAGGTGAAGTATGAACATATCCTAAAGGTCAAAATATAATCCCATTAAAAATACAATACGAATGTTACTTCATATAGAATTACTACATATGAAACCATTTGTTAAGCACTAACACGCACACAAACATTAACAGAGTGTACGCTGTATAGTGTGATGAACTGATTGCTTTTAAATGCACAATGAGGTTTTCATTATAAAGCATACTCTTATTGATCTATCACGCTCTAAACAGTTCCTGTTTCCTTTAATGTAAATGTTAGGTTAGGTGTAATTAATGTGTAGTAGCTAAATAATCTTTATTCAGGAAACTAATAATGAAATCCTAAATAACTTAATTTAATTCATTCATTACGGTGTTTACCAGGTAGACGGTGTAAAGTCAGGGTTTGAAATTGCATAAGAGACAGAATTTTACTAGTTCACTGATGGAGATGTGTGTTAGGGAACAATGTTTTAATCAATGAATCGTGGAGCCAATGATATCTGATGATTTTTAAACAGTGTGTAAAGATCATGGAGTGTAATTATGCTTTTTAATCACTTAAAGTTTAGTGAATATGCTCAGAATGAATTATAAATCTCTCTTTAAGACTAAACTAAACATGCTGTAGTAATAAATGTACAGTTATGCATCTGAAGCTGTGTGTTTCTGTCTTGCTGCGACACACGCATGTTAGTCTCATTTCATCTCCGAAACTTCCTTGAACCCGACATAAAACCTTTCTGAGAAGGGATTTCTTTTACAGCTGACCTGTGGACAATAAACTCTACATGTTGGCTGCACACATTCCCTTCTTGAGCACGCACAACTCGATAGTCCTGACCTGTAACTCTTTGGGGTTATTGGACATTTTAATATAAAACATGACCATGTTACCTTCCGCAAAAGACAGTTCATATAACAACCGTCCAAAGACATTAAATACAGACATGAAGCACAGATCTGCAGCCGGTTGCACCTGCTCTTTCTAAGTTATAATTTGGTTATAGCGTGTTTACCAAGTACAGATTTCTGAGTTACTAAATAACCGTACGACTCGTAAAAAGAGCTTAGCTGTTTCTAAATATTTACATTTAATTACTACTGGGTGTAACTGTTGCCCGGTCGCTTTAACCATCGGACTAAAAGGTGCTTGTTGGGAAACTGAGTACGACAATTTCTAAGAACAGGCTTCATAATTCGGGTCAAAATAAACATGTTAGACTGACCAAACCAAACAGCAACAAAAGGACTAGACTAAGGTTGAAGCCAGGACGCCAGAAACTGCAGTGACACAGCTGAAGAGCTCACCGGCTCCTTTCACCAGAGGGACAACAATCGGTGCAGCACTTCACAAATCAAGCCTGTGTGGACTAAACAAACGCTCTGCTGGAAGAAAAGACACATGCTTTAAACAAAGATCCTGTGGTCTGATAACAGTGAAATACAACATGTAATGCCTATCGTGTTTCATTTTAGATCAACTGGTGGAGATCTGCTTTTACTTTGACGTTAAAGAAACGTTTTCCATCGACAACAATAAGAAAGCGTTGAATGGATGTTATAAAACAAAAACAGTAATTCAGGGAACTGTAGTTTTTGTTTACATTTCTGAATATTCTGCTGACTGAGATTACAACTTGTTCCTGTGTTTTGCACATGATGCATGTGACAGTCCTGTGGCGTTTTACCGCACACATGTCCTAGCTGGTTTTTGTTTTGTTTTTTGTTTTGTTTTTTGTTTTTTTCTTTAAAAAAAAGATGCTAACTAAGTTCCAGTCCAGTGACACACATTTAACTTCCTATAAATTCTTCGCAATAAAAGTCGGCCGGTTATTTTGTTATTGAACCGCTTTTATTATGAAGCAGCAGAACCAGGAAGTGTTGGGTTTTAATTAGCAGTACCTTAACGCAGTTCCTGTACAGCTGAAAGCCGACATGAAACGGTAAAATAAAGCAGAT